AGATGAAAAAATAAAAAAATAAGATTTAGAACTTATTTTACTGTACCTGTTTTATGATCTATGTGTGCTTTAAGCAAACTTCTCAACAAAGGAAACCATAGATTGTCTTGCCTGGTTGAAACATCCAATGCAACGGATCCTTTCTTGCTAAGTCGCACTAACTCAACAGTTATTGTGTTTATCTTTTGAATTGACACTGTATTTTCAGCATCCAACTAAAAAAAAAGGAAAAAGCTATTAGATGTAATTTCTAAATTTAGAAATTTTATGTAACTTTATTTAGTTATTTGTAATATTTGGGTGTACTTTGACTATTACCTTTGCTATATATGGTTCCAACCGATTCAAGAGCATAGAAAAGGCTCCCAAAAAGTCACCTGATCTCTCCAATAAAAGAGCAGTTGCTTCATCTTGATTGAATCTTTTTGATGTCTAACAGAACAAAAGAGAAATTAAATGAAGCAGTTTTGCTACCATTTAAGCAGATGATATCTTCCAACTTCCAAGCTTACTCACATTCAATGCTTCATCAAGTCGATACCACTGATTTGTCTGAAGGAAGTCACATAGATTCTCTGGACAGTGTTGACATAATAACTCAATATACTTTTCCGCAAGAACTGGCTCTGGCGAAGGCTCCTCTCGACTAAGATTCTGGTTGCTGCAATATCAGTTCATATTAATACAGATACTAATAAAAAAAAAACAAGTAAATTTCTTTTGACAAAGAAATACATACTAATACAGAAATAGGCCTTGAAGTATAGCATACTGTGCTGAGGGATCATTATTGAGCTTGTCAATAATTTCATAAAGTTTAGGATGCAAATACTGATGGATCAACTGGCCGGTTTGTGTAGCATCAATAGCAACTAGATCCTGAATTATAAGATAGAAGAAATTTCCTATTAGATGATAATAAATGTAGTCTTGGGGCACTTATAATCAAAAAGTAAAGTTATTACCTTTAGTTTTTTCTCAACTGTGTTCAGCAGCAAAGTGTGCATGCTTTTATCAATCTCGGGGGAGGTAGACAACTCAGAAAATAAAAATTGGAACACTTGCATGCGCCTTGGATGATCTTGAAGGTAGCAATCTACTACTAAATGAACATCTCCTCGCTCTAGTAGCAAAAGTTCTTCTACACGGTAACTAAAGATAAGTAAAAAAATGTGTTAAGTTCAGGTAAAGGCCATGTTATTTTAAATATAAAAGAAAAATGAACAGTACTCACAACTTTGCTTCCTCTGATTTCCTCAGCAGATCTTCTGGATCAAATTGACTCAAACCTCCAGCCTGCATGAGTTCAAGAAGAGCTTGTTCCCTCTCTTCTTTCTGGGAACCCACAGCCCCAGGCTCTGTCAGATGATCGACAACCCGCTCAAATAAAGAAATATCTACATGCAATCGATCAGAGGGTCCATTTTGAGCCAACTGGCGAGCTAAAAAGGTCAGTAAAGCTCCAACCTGGCTTGCCTGTGAATAAAAGGTTATCTATCCTTCATTTAAAATGTATGTGTGTGTATATATTTTTACATACATGTAACTTAGACTTTTATTAAAAAATCAAATTTTTAAGCTTACACTAAATCCTTGCTCCTTCACCACCAGTTGAAGGAGAATGTCTACAACTAATTGTTTTCTTCGTAGACCAAGCTCAGATGTGAATTCTGGTTCTTCAAAGGCCAGAGCTAACACATTCAAGAACTCCTTGGTGTCAAACTGGAGTAGGACCCTAATAACAGGCAGATTAAGCAGTTACGTTTTGAAACAGTCCAGGTATTTTATAATACAAATAATTTAGCCCAAACATGTTTTACCTTAAATAGGGGTAGACTGGTTCAGTATCTTTGGCATTTAAGCTATGCTGACAAGTGACACACTGAAAGACCCTTTGTTTCACAGTTTGCACCAAGTCTGGTGGAACATCCCCATAGGGGTAGCCTCTTCCAGCCAAGCAGCAGCTTATATAAACTAAAAGTTTATTTCCTAAAGTTATTTGTTGATTTGAAAGCTGCCTCCCTGTAAAAATGAAGAGAATATAGATCACACATTGTAAGTATTATCAGATCAAATTCAGCTACTTTAAATCCTACCCGTAGCAATTGCATTCTGTAGAACATGCAAAAGTTCTTGCAAAGGGTTAACATAATCTTGCATTCCTTTGGTGTAAAGATGTATGATAGCATCATACAAGCCATGTTCCCAACATATAGACATCACTTGATGAAAGTCTAGGGATGTCACAGGGATATGCACAACACATGCCTCAAGAGCCTGGAATAAGATAGAAAAAGTAGAAAAGTAGAAGAAACTTGATGGTAATTATAGATGGCTCATGTATTGGCTGAGCAGTTTTGCCATACCAAAAGTTTTTTATTATTACAATAGTGCTGAACAAAGTCCTGAACAATTTGTGGTGGTATTTCTGTAAGTTGTTCGTTTAATAAGTAGGGCTCCAACGCTTCTAAATAAATAGCTTTTGAAACAGGATAAAGTGAGACAACCTCCCAAAGTTGGTTAAAGAGTATATCTCTGGAAAAACAAACACAAAAAAGTAACAATCAGACAAAACTAGACAATAAACCAATGCCCCATCAGAAATATGATATCAAAAATAAATAGGATAACTGAACTTACTGCTCATTCAATTCAATGCTGTACAATACACAAGCAGGTACTGCTTCACGGTACAGATGCTCAGTGGCACTGGGTGCCTGACCAATACCATACTCGATATATTTATAGAGAATATCGATAGCCTGGAAGAAAAGATGTGATAGATCATAAGTATTCTACTACTCCCTATGTACTGTAGTGTTTTCAAAAGTTTAATTCAAATTTTTTGGACAGTAACCTTATCACGAGTGAGAGCCCTGCGTTTGCATTTGGGTCCTTTCAATCCGACCACAGCTTTAGCTCTGTCTTGATAAAAAGCCAAGGCTAATGCCAAAGCATCCAGGTAGTTTTTCTAGTCAAGGAAGAAAATATAAACCAATAACTGATTAAAGCTTTCATGAGCTAGAGAGAATATAACACATACTGAAAATGACCAACCTGTCGTATCAAATGATCCAACCGCTCTTTCCAGGTGCGAACTCCTAAAACATGAAGACCTCTAGTACCCAGAATGACCATCTGATTACCAAAACTGAGTAGTGAATTATAACATGCTCGCTCTCCAGCGAGAGCCTGAAAACAATGTTTTTTTCAGTTATAACAGAAACTGTCAACATTCACATTAGATATGAGGATAAACATATGGCTTACCAATGCTTTGCTAACATTGCCACCAGTAGACAAGCCCTTAAAGTGACTCGATCCATATACTAATCCAGCATTAGATATATCTACAACCTCTAGCTCAATTTGAGATCGAACATCTATAAGATGAACTTGCTCTAGTGTGTCTACAGTCGCTAAAGTCCTTGGATTCAACCAATGTAAAGACAGAAGCAAGTATGGAACACATAGTTTTTGGAGAGGAATCAACCTGATTTTACTTGCCATATCTAAAGTAACCTTGAATTTAAAACAAAAACTTGGGTATATATTCGTTGAATGTAAATAATAAATGTGAGCAAACTTAACAATAATAATTGCTTACCTGATAAAAATGAACAGTAGATTCCCTAGCAAATGCAAGAACAGGATCAACAACTCTTGATTGTTCACCAACTTGAATAATGACAAACTGCCACGATACTAGGGGTAAAGTAGCTGGATGTGCCTTGAGTGGGAAGGTAAACAACACCTTCATTCTTGGACGGATACTAACAACAATTATCTAGGTGCCGATTACGAGAAAAACAAATGGAAAATTAGTTTCAATAATAACTAGTACTTTATCTGCACCATGAAATTAAAAATCACCTTTGAAAGTGTAGCCATAGCTACAAGAACTGTACCATGCAAAGGATGGCCAGGTACAGAATCAAGTAACAATGGTTCAATGGTGCACACTTCACCCCTGCTACCTGAGAACAAACATTTGGAGGAGCAGCCTCTCACCCCCATGGTACGTTTAAAAGTGAGTTCAAATACAGATCCACCACTATCACTGCAGAGGGCTAAATTTGGATTGTCTGTGAACTGAAAAAGCTCAAATGTTAATCAATGACAAAAGATTAACAAATGAGAATTGGACAAGACTGTAAAGGAAATTACCTTGACATGTAGCACTGCTGTCCCAGGTGCGTGTACATCTGTCATTGTGCGTAACAGTTTTCCTGTTTTTACATCATACATAAGAATATGGCCCCTTGCATAACCAACAAGTAACCTAGTAACTTCATAATTAAAACACAATGCTGAAACCTGCAAAATGGAAGATGCAAAATTATACTCTCTCACTAGACTTCCAGTACCATGACAATCAAAAGAACAATTTGACAAAGGGATCTTACAGAGCCTTGGTCTTTGTCCTGGCTATCAAGACACCATCTCAGAGTTTGTGAAGAGTCAAACACAAGGACAAGCCCATGAGACGTGCCAACAGCAACCATGATCTGCACTGCTATACATGTGGGCAAACCTGCATCTGAGCGATCCTGAAAAGAAATTGAAATTGTATAATTATTATTATATACGATAAGAGTACAAAACTGTATTGCAGACATCATATCACTTTCTTACACTTGCAGAAACCACTTGAGATGATATAGCCTTTAGAATAACATGCCGAAGAATAGATCCGGCTTTGACAGGAATGGCATTACTGGGGGCTCTTGATGATGAGGATCTAGTTGTACTATGGCGTTCTGAAGAACTTCTACTTCGTCCGCCTATGCTGCCCATAGACCAGGTTTCAAAAGCCTAAAAACCAAAAATTATGGGAGAGAGAAAAAAGAGAACAAAAAAGATAAGTTTACCTGAAAGTTTTTAATTTCAACAAATGAATGAAGTCTAAAAGAAATATTAATACTTCTCCTGGATGAATTAGGTGATTCCCAGACACTTCATCTTCACTGATAGAGCCTCTGTCATCAACATCATTAAGAATACTTTCCAGAGTTGGTGCATGTTCAACAGGGGGTATATCATATTCATTATCATCGAGCTAGGAGGAGTAATAAAATAAATAAATAGTACTGACATAAGAAGACATAACCTCAAGAAAGAAGATACTATAGATAATAACAATAACAACTGCATAGTAGGGACAAATTCTGTGAAAAGACTTGTAGAACGAACATGAAATATGAACGAATTGAGTCCCACAAGAATTTCCATTGAAAAACTGTCACTTTCAGGTAGGAGGTGACAACTGTCAAATTTAGCGGCGTCCAGTATTTCGTTATGCTAATAAGTATTTTAAGGGTATTGGTATGCAGAGTGATAGAAAACAAATCTCGTTGTCTCATTTGTACATTTACCTCCTCAAGCTCAGTATTTAATGTGTCAATAGATATATTTTCGGGAATATCACTCCCAACGGACACAGAGTCAGCCATGCTTGTTGCTTGTTGATAAAATAGCAGAAGAGAAACAGAGAGAAAAACAAGTATCAAATAGTAACAACTGTCAAATGACAAATTTCCCCAAAATGACCATCGTTGAAACGCTCAATTGATATGATATGAACTTTTTGTGTTTTGTATACAAATCTCATTCATAATCTTAAAAAACTGGACTATTTTAAGCCTAAGGTGAGCATTACAGGCTTCAGAAGGGAGGCCGTGAACTAGTGATAACACTGCTTTTATCGAACGAAACGTGGAGTCGAAAGGAACATACCCTCCAGTCAGGTTGTTCACGTCAAAATGGCAGCCATCGGAGTTAGTTTTCGGTGGTTAGATTTATTAGAAAAAGAATTTGATAAAGCCTATGTTGATCTAGAATTGCTTATAGGTAAGTTAATCTACCATTCATTGTTGTTTTCATGTATTTGAAAAGACTTCGGCCAAACACATGGATGCAGTGCCCGTGCGTTGAACCCGGTCCCAAACAGCCCAGAAAATTTCGTCTGCCACCTTTTCTGCTTCTGTCAAAATACATAAACAAACCCACAGACTCATATCTTGGTTCATTTAAAACGCGGAAATGTATCTCTCAAGTGGGAGAAAGTTCGTCCATGCCTTTTGTGTGCTGAGACGCGCTGTAATAAATGTGGAAATCTGGCAAAATAATACACACACTTAGTGACGTGACGATAACCTCAACACCTTAAGCTTAAGGCATGTTGTAGTACCCCCCTCTCAGTTCATAACTTTGGTTTGATTACTTCTGAGTGTGTTGTTTGCTCTGTATGAAAGCACTTGTTGTCTCCGTACTTTAATTGTTTCAGTTGTAGTCTGTTTCATGTTTTTAAGGTAACATCCAAGCATATTCTATAATTTATAATGTTTCTTTTAAGATGTCTAAGCCAAGTTGAGCCCATATTATTGATTAAACTTTGAAGTCTATTATTCAATTAGTAATTTACCATTAACATTGTGTTTCAAAATATTAATACACATCCTCTATTTGCTGTTGCAGGAGATATGGAGAGTGAGGAATTAGAATTAGTGTATCCAGCAAGACAGAAAATGGCCACCCTTAGTTCATGTTTTGCACAGCTAACTCACAAGGCCCAAACAGTCTTCCAGAACAGCGCTAAGGTTGAGGTGAGTCGAAACTGATGTTCTGTTGATCATATAAGTTTAAGTCCATTATTTCTGAATGTGTATATCAAACCAAATTGCCCCCTTTTAATTGAAAAGAACAAATGGTTAAGTTCATTCAAACAAGTTTATATTTATTCAGTCATTCATTGCATTCATTAGAGAGTATCTGTTCTTAGTGTAGTTTCATTAATCTTAATATCCTCTGTATGTCATTTATTCGTAGAATATTTAGTGTACTTATAGAAAGTCTAATAGTCATGGGCAACAGGTGATTATACCGG